TTGCCTACCCCTGATCTAGACCATCTAAGTCCATTTGTATCTGGTCATTGTGACTGCTGTTCTCCTTGCCAGCATACCCAGGGCTGAATCTGGGATCTTCTGCATACAAATGGATTCTTCCCAAACAGCAGATTTCTAGTCCTGATGGTTCCAGGAAATAAAAGAACAGTTTTGCTACAGTCTGCAGCACTATCTTGCATCTACCTGCGTGTCTCCAAGACATTTCTATCTAGTCTGCAGATTGAGTGTCTCTCTCTTGTTCGATGTTGTAGCTGGCATCAAATTACTCCAAGGATTTGGGGAAGAAGGTACTAAACATCCCCTTTGATCATCCTGTTATGAAAACAGGGTCTTTTATACATTCGACTTACCCAGATCTGTGCCTAGACCAGAGCCAAAAACACATTTCAGATTAGCCAGAGAGCAGAAGTGAAGACAGAGACAGTCTTGAAAGTAGAAATTATTTTAAGGTGGAAAACTTTCCAAAGCCAGGTGAAAAGGGGCAATGACAACCAACTGGATCAGACCAAAAAAACTGTCTGGTTCACCATTCTGCTCATGCAGTGGCCAATCAGTAGTCCATGGGAAACCCACCATCAGGCCACAATCAGAGCACTCCTCTCCACAGCAACTGGCATTCAGACTCAAACTGCCTTTTGGTACCTGAGAGCCTTTCCAGATAAGAAACAGGTCTCTGAAAGTCTCAGGTTTTGCTACTCCAAAATTTTATTTTGGAGATCTACATGAAGTTTTCACCATCCCAGGAGCTCCCAGCATTACCAAGGATTTTTCATTCCCACTCTCCAGGCCAGTTTAAATTAACCCAATACTGTATTTCCTGAAATAAAACATAACTTTCCATGGTGTCTCTTTGGGTTATACCACAACTAAAAATGGCTGCCACCCTACTTCCGGTGGCATGGCAGTGTGTTAAACCTCTCAAGGCAGAGTCGGAGGAGAGGAATAGCCACCCGCGAGCTCAGGGTCCTGCGAACGAGATCATCGCAGGACAGAAAATATCTCCCCGGTTAGGGGAGAGTCAGAGGGGCTCAGCTGTGACCAGAAAAACCCCAATTCTATCCCGGAGAGATGAGATCGGAGAGGAGAAGGAGAGTGGGGTAAGAAACTGGAGAGTGGGGTCATGGTGGTCTGAGCATTCCACGACCGCGAGTGTGCAGCCACTGCTATGGCAAGCAGCACAAGCGCCGCCACCGCTTATAACTAAATAATTATTTTTTAAGCATCTCAATTATGCGAGCTTGCAGCAAATAGAGTTATATCTTCTGCACTGCTATCTATTTGTGGTGTTAATATTCTTCATGCCAATACCCAAATAATAAGACATGGGGAGAAATCCCGAAAATTGTGTTTAAATTACCGACGGATTGCGGGCAGCGAACAACTTTCAAAAATACTCTTAAGAACACTCCAGTATCAAAAGTAGATATATATATAAGAGAAGAAAAAAAAAGGGGGGGGGACAATAATTGTAAAGCGATTGGAAAAACTGCGAGTGGAAAAAGGAACAAAAATAAGGAACTTTGGGCAGCAGAGAGACGTGACGCGCTAAATAACAGTAATGGTGGACGTGGAAGTGAAAGTGATTTGGCTTAGTAAACAACAAATTTATGAATCTGCCCTATAAACAAAGAAGGACTTAAATCTGATAAATGGAACTATTAAGGAGGACTCGGATTGTTGAAAAATACAAATTATAGTTTTTCAGTGTGGATCGAGTTGGATATATTTCATAACTGTTCGGCTACAAAGAAACAAAGGAAAGGAGTCTCCACGGCTTTTTTTCTTCCTTACTCCCTCCCCTTTCCTTTTGGATTGAAGACAAGACTTGGCTTCAAAAGACTCAATTTAACTTTTCTAACACTTTCAATTTAAGATACAACGTTACAGAAGAAAATTAAAGTATTAACGAAAGAACTTCGGCAGGAAATAAAAGGAGACATCGGATATTTTTGGACTCCTGCTGATCTTAGACTTAAGACATGGATTTGGTAACGAGAGTGGTGCTGTCATCAGATCAATAGAGGGAAACGAAAACTGCAGTGAAAGAAGAAGAGAAAGAGGGGAGGGGGAGAGGGGGGAAAAGAAAAAAGGGAAGAAGCAAACTAACTGCATATCTTTTATTAATATAACCTAATTTCTTTCCCGTTGATTATTTTTTTTCCAGTTGATCAAACATTGATTAATTTAAAATTTGTTGAATTAAAAGGTAAAGGAGTAGAAGTTGGAATATACATTAGTTTATTAATCTATCCTTCTCTTTGTCATTGCTGTTTTCTTTTTGGGAGTGTGAGAAGATAAATAATCTACTAATCAATTATTAGATATTACTAAGTATATTATAGAACATTATGGAATATAGATACTGAAGTATAAGGTTTGATCATTATAATAAAACTATTACATTGTTGGTATTAATTTGAAAATAATTACTAAGAAATTACTAAGAAATTTAACTATTGGTAAGGTTTGAATCTACTTGGCTTGCATTTTTGATATTTGAAATACAAGATTGACTTTAGTACTTTATATATACATAAATAAGTGGGGAAATATATGTGGGTACATACGCATCAGACAACCTAGACTTTGATTAATAATTTTCTAGAGCTTTTTTTGTGTTGAGGTTGAGAATTAGTATATAGAGAAATTAGGCAATTGTCTTTTCTCTTGTTTATTGTTGTGACTGGGCAAATATTAACTATCAACTAACTGTTTGGGATTTGTGTTTCTGTTGACAAGAAAGGTG